CACCCAGACAGATGGAAATCAAATACTCAAAAATTTATTTAGTTGTAACTTAACTTTATTTTTTGATAAAAAAATATAATAATTATTTATGACACTAATGCCATTTGTGTCCGCGGCGGTGAATAGATTGATTCTATTTATATTTGGTTCAGAATTTTGACGCCACGTTGTACCGTGGAGCTGGTTTATGTGATACTTTGTAATGCCTCGCGTAAATATTACTTGCGTCAATTTACCGCTCTTCCTCATAAATTGTATACTACATATTTGAGAATTTATATAAAATATCCCCGTTTTAATGTGCTTAAAGGATGTATCTTCCAGCTATTAAATTAGACAGTGCAATAATACTTCCTCTAAAATATACATAAAATGTATTATGGACTTAAAGGTTTATAATTAAGATTCAATTTCACGTAACAATGAATTTTAACAATAACTAGAAGTTTGCATATTGTAGATATATTGTACAGCATTACGAATTCGATGGACTCTATAGAAATACAGGGCGTTGTGACTCTGGTGTGTTATGTATTTTTATAAAGTTGCGTCCAATATCGGTATTGTGAACATTTTGTATCAGACTAGGCACGTGAGAGGACTATAATTATATTTATGTAATAATAGCCATGAAAATAATAGAGGGAGACACGAGAGTAGCTAGGTAACATTTACCTGAGACGAAATTTATATAATGGTGTACATTTTTGATATGACGTTGTACAAAAGAGACATTTGGTATGTTATTTTATAGGAATGAAATAAATAGCATTAATAAATATATCCGTGTTTTTAATTTAATATAAGGCCTTTTACAAGACATACTCCCTGTATGTTGAATTGTTCAGGTATATTTAGCCTATGTCCATAGAACATAGGTACGTACGCGTCCGTTCAGCTCTCCGCAACTAAACGGACAGCGTCTTCATACAAACTCGATGGTATCAGCTAAAATCCACTGATTCGGTTATAAATAAAAGTCAATATTTTATTGCGAATTTTATTAAATGTTAAATATATATTTTTTAAATATTAAAACACACAATTCACGTAGGACAAAGATATAGTAATTAAACATTATGTATGTAACATTAATGATATGGTACTTTACAATTGCATTCGTATAACAATCAACAATCGATATTTCTTATTTTATGGAGTAGGTACTCGTTTATCACTTCTTGAATGTTTGCAACACTTGGGGTTACCAATTTATAATAAACAGTTATCTACATGTAAGTAAACAAAGATTTTGTTGGTTTCCGAGCCGCCAGACTACACGTGGGTTCCAGTAAGGCTAATGCTATACGGAGCCGCGGAGGACTTGACGTGTTGCCGGGGCTCCGTCTCACAAGTGCAGGAGTAGGAACGAGGTGGATTTTAGTTAGTAAGAGTCTGATACTTCCTCTCGCCTCACCCAAGGCGGTTGGATAGTCATTGGATGATTTTACACCCTTCAAAAAAGAATTAAGTAGTAAAAATACTTGATGTTGTATACAATGAAATTACAATGTTACATTTACAGATTTCTTTTGCTAGAACTAAGGGAATTATGTTTATTATTATGTAAATAATTGTAACATTTATTAAATGGCAACCCCTTTTCTCAACAACAATTAACAGTAAATACTTTATAGTTCTGGGTCAGGACGTTACATTTCACAGTATAGATTTAAGATTCTTGCACACAAACCGCCATTAGAATTAACAAACATTTTTATAGTTTTTGTGTACAAGACCACAATTATTTGCGCTAAAGCCATGTAAGACCAAAACTTAACCTCTTTGCAACCAGTGTTGCCATTAAAAAAACACGCTACAGAATAAAAACAATTTTCACACAGCAACACAAGACAGTTAAATACAAAAATAACAATTTGTTCGCTATAACAATTCTCGTTTGTACTACCAGACCTTTGGATTATTGCTTATTATGTTAACCTATTAGTTTTTAATTAATATCATTAATTTAAAACACAGTGAATGAATGAATGAAAAGATCGATATAATTTAAGGTGCACAAAAAATCAACCATATCACATTGGAATAAGGTCGGATTTTCTCAAACTATTCTCATTCAATCACTATGTTTCACATACTAACGCTAAACGGTGTACAAACAATTTTGGCACTCAACTAAACTAACATACGGATCAAAATCCTTTAATACAATAACTAAAATATACAAAAAGTTGCCTAAATGTTTACAAATAAATACTTTCATACGTTACTCTAAAATAATATTTATACAATGGTGTTAGGGTTTAAAGTCTTCTAAAGGTGGGGTGAATATGGTAAATTAGGGGCAAACAATAATAATTATTAGGTTTTTTTATGAATTGATCTATACAGACTTAAAAAATTTTTCTACAATAAGTGATGTAAAATACATATTTTGAAGTGGAATTTACACTAATTTAAATTGAAAGAACTACAATTTGGAACTAATTAGGGTCTAAATAATATTTCAATACTAATTATATTTCGCTACTACATGACTTAGGACTTGTATAGAAAGTATGAGACCTAATTGCAATTTAAAGAGTTAAACTATTAAAAATACTGGTTTACTCATATTGAGAAAAGCTCTACTAGTTTCGAGTCACAGTGGGACTCTTCCTTATGAGAGGCGTGCGCGGACGTAGCGACGTCGCGTAGTCTACGACTCAGTATTTTTAATTAATTTTGTAATTACTATACAAATATAGTGATAAATTAATAAAAATACTATAGGGCTGCTACACATAGTTGTCTTTTTCAAAATTGTAATAAAATATAAATTAGTAATAATATACATGCATTGTTAAATAACAAATCAAATACAACTTGATTTATCTAAGTATAGGTAGATATATGGAACTTAAAATTTCATAGTTTCAACTGCATTTGAGCCTCAATTCGAACATAAAGAATCGACACAATAGTTATAGTTGCACATTAAAAAATAATAACAAAAATAAATTAATATCATTGCATCAGATTCTTTTATTATGAGTGTGTTAAAATAATAATAAAAAACACACAAGTATATCAAAATGAGACATGCTGAATTAACTAAAAATTACGAATTATTCACTTAAATATACTGAGAAAAGTATAACTAGTTTCGATTCAAAGAGGGACTCTTCCTCCAGGAGGCTGCGCGACATCACCGCGACCGCGCACGCTGCTCATGATAAAGAGTCCCTCTGTGACTCGAAACTTGTAGAGATTTTCTCATTATATTTACGTGAGTAACTCTGAGTTTTTAATTAATTAAGTATATTATCATCACCATCATCATCAGCCCGGGTTTGGCCACAGCTGGACATAGGCCTGTTCAATGGCAAGAGTATAGTATATTTCTTAAAAAAACAAGAAGAGCTCGAGGAATATCAAGTTGCAGTTATAAAAATATTGTCGACAACTTTGTTGATGCAGCAACTGTCTGATCACCTGTTCAACTGCTCAACAACGTGCCGTGCGTTAGTTCTTCAAACATAACATAACATAACATCACGCCTGTCTTCCCCGAAGGGGTAGGCAGAGGTGCACATTACGGCACTTAATGCCACTGTACAATGTAACACCCACTTTTCACGATTTATGTTATGAGTCCCATGTAATAGGGGGTGCGCCTATTGCCATATACCAGGCACTATTCCAGACTCCGTGCTTCTACTGGGATTTTTAAAAACCCAGTAATATTTTGCCCGACCCGGGAATCGAACCCGAGACCCCTTGCCCGGCAGTCGCAGTTGCGACCACTCGGCCAATGAACAAAATTGTTTTAATTAACAAATCTTATCTAAAAAGCACTGAACTACTATTTGTTGTAATTGTTATGTTTTCGGATCACTCTCGTACTGAACTAGTTTGAAGCCATGCTAGAGGCTCAAATTTAAACAGTTACGTGAGTAAGCCGAAAACATAATAAGGTAAACTAGTACGTTTCAAGAAAGTTTTAATATAATTGTTTGTGTGACCCACAAATTGATCCCGGTTTAAGTGTCATATGTATGTGAAATTATATATTATGTTTGTAAACGCACCCACAACACATAAAAAGATCTTAGTACGAGTATAAGTTTTTAATAAGGGGAACAAAAAATAATGTTTGAATACACATAATTATTTCGGTAGATATTTTGAAAAATGGGAAATTTGTACGTTTCATTCACTTTACAGTATATATCACTCCACTACGTAAAATACATTTTACAATTATATAACAAGAAGAGTTTCATAACAATTATATCAAGGGTTTAGGGCGTATACTATTTGCTTACTGGGGTAGGCAGAGGTCCTTTGATCTAGTTATCGATTTTATTACAAAAAGCAAAGCAGTTGACATTCTGTAAGGTTGTTGAGACCGGAATCCCCTTTACAATTTTAAAATAGTTTTTAACCAGGTCAAGGGTCGAATCAGCTCATAAGTCAAATATGGTAAATAAGACTGCGAAGTCCAAGTAATATTTTAATAGCTCTTTAAGGATTAAAAATTCTAAGCTTGTTTGTTCCAAACGCTTAAACTGCTGCATACATTTAAATGAAATTGAAATCATTAAGACATTTCGGAAAATAAAACATTGTGATACAGTAAGAGACAAACAATTGATCGACCAAAATTTTTACTAAATTAGGCAAGATTTAGTTTCATTACGGAGCCGCGGAGGACTTAACGGGTTGCTGGGACTCCGGCTCAAAGTGCAGCAGTAGGAACGGGGTGGTTTTTAAACAGTAAGACTCTGACACTACCTCTCGTCTCACCCGGGGCGGGAGAAGTCATTGGATGATTAAAAAAACAGATTCAGTTGCATATTTTTTCTTGGAAAAGTATTTTATTCTTACTTCATCTATACAAATGGTATACGCCCTCAAATATCTAAGCTAAAAGAACACCTAGCGAGTACTTATAGCAAATTATTGCGCAAGCTACAACTAAATGTACGCACCATATGTATTGCGAGATCAATCGTTATTACACACAAACATACACACGTCCGTCTGTTAGTCCGTAGTTAGTTGATCGACATCTTCTCTTGTAGTATTTGGAAGTAACATGCCTGGAAATTAAAAAGGATATTATGTAGAAAAAAATAAGAGAATCTGGGGCCTTAGTACGAGTTTGTTTTACGTTTAAAGTAATCGTAACGAGTACGCGTTCGGAGCTCTGATTGGTTCGTTCATTGGCTCCGGCCAATCAGAGTGTCGAACGTGTACTCGTTTCGAATACTTTAAACGTAAATCAAACTCGTACTAAGCCCTCTGTTAGATTAACTAAAATCGCAGGTTACTCACGTGAATATACTGAGAAAAGCCCTACTAGTTTGCGCGACGTCGCCGCGACCGCGCACGCTGCTCATAAGGAAGAACCCCTCTGTGGTTCGAAACTAGTAGAGCTTTTCTCAGTATTTCACGTGAGTAACCCGCGATTTTACTTAATTTAGTATATCTCACGATAGTTATTATAAAAACAGAATCTGTTAGGTATATAAAAGATTGTGTTGGTGTTGAACTACGTCAAAATCAAAGTCAAAATAATTTATTTCAATTAGACCAGAAAGGCACTTTTGAACGTCAAAACAAAATACTGAAATATTAAACAAAAATGCCAGTCTGTCGGTCAGGCCTCTAGTGAAGTTCTTTGCTCGTTCCAAAGTGTAGATTCCTATAGAGAAGATCGAGTAAGAAACTCCATACGTTACTCTTTTTCAATCAGTTTCACAATACAATATTCTTGGTTACATTGTTTCGAAATGTACATGTTTGTACCAAATTATATGGAATGGACGTAAATATTGACACTTGTCAGTGTCATCCCCATACATTTTGATTTCTACTCTCTCTGTAGACAAGCGCTAAAGTGGCGTTTGGCTAAAGGCTTGCGGTCACCGGTGTCCTCGCGGTGTTTGACAGTTTAAACTGTCAAACACCAAGCGGTCACCGGTGACCGCGACCTATTGTTCTTTAATTGTGTCTATAAAACCGGTACTCGACGAGTTAATAAGTTTCAAATTACCTTAAGAGTGGTGAACATGAGTCCCAACTCTCCGTGTTGCATGGCCGGCTCGAGGAAGTCTTCAATGAAATGTATCTCGGAGCCGAGCTGTAGGATCCGAGCTCTCACTACCACGAAGTGAAACACTGGGAACAACTCATCCATACTCCAGAGGTAGTTTGAACCTGGAAATTTGTGTTGACAAGTTAGATTTTACACAAATACCTATGGCATATTTGTACACACACATGGTTTACACAAATACGGTGTACCGCCGGTTTTCTGTGAAGCTGCGATATCACTTCGGACGATCTGGCCCATTCGTGGCGAGGTCGGAGGCATGGCTCTCGATAAAAAGAACAAAACAGACAGAATTTTTGAAAATTTTGTTTATCCGCAAATTTATCCGAAGATATTAGTCACATTACTTAGCAGTCAGGCTTGGCTACAAGAGACTAACGACGTAGAAATTCAGAATTCTGTAGCTCTTCCATACTTTTACTAACTTGAGCTTCATTGGTATGTACCTATATATTAACACTAGCTACTTGCGCGCGGTTTCACACGCTCTGCTCAGCTCCTATTGGTCGTAGCGTGAAGTTTTATAGCCTATAGCCATCCTCGATAAATGCGCTATCCAACACAAAAATAATTATTCAAATCAGACTTGTTAGCGCGTTCAAACAAACAAACAAAAAAACAAACTCTTCCGCTATATATACATATATATGTATAAGATATAAGATACCAACGAAGCAGGAAATCAACACAACAAATATCAAAGTTATTACAAAAATCATTCAATATCACATACCCAACTCCTGTTGTACAGCAATAGTCATCTTCTGGAAGGTGCTCCTGATAACGAGAAGCTTCTCAATCGGTGAGAAGGTGGTTTTGAGTTGTTGCAGCGTCTCCACTGCTTCTTGGAACAGTTGCTCTTTGAGTGGCGACGTGGGGGACAACTGGTTGTTGGGACAGGTGTAGCCTACCCAGAATTTTCTGGAAAAAAAATGGTAAAATGAAGCTTATGCTTCGTACGGTATGTTTTCGTTGTATTTCTATTAAAATTATAGGGCCGTTAAATTGAATGCCTCGTTAGCCGAGTGGTCGCAAGTGCGACTACCGGGGAAGAGGTTTCGGGTTCGATTCCTGGGTCGGGCAAAGTATTACTGGGTTTTAAAAAAAAATCTCAGTAGTAGCACGGAGTCTGGAAATGTGCCCGGTATATGGCAATAGGCTCACCCCCTATTACATGGGACTCACAACATAATTAGTGAAAAGTGGGTGTTACTTCTGTGTGCACCTCTGCCTACCCCTTCGCGGATAAAAGGCGTGATTTTAAGATGTTATGGCCGTTAAATTCGCAAAAAAGATGGGCAGAAGTACACAGTGCACATTTAAAATCTAACGCCTATATTTACTAGTTATGATATATGAAAAATGTCGTGGTGGGCCGGAGGTTTAAGACGCCCACTTCTCATGCATGAGGGTGCGGGTTCGAAACCTACCAACGGCAAGTACCAATGTGACTTTTTCCGAGTTATATGTACTTTCTAAGATTATTTAGACACCACTGACAAACGGTGAAGGAAAAACATCGTGAGGAAATCTGGATTTATAATTTCTAATTATAAGTTTGAAATCGTCAACCCGCATTGAGCAAGTGTGGTGATTAATGCTCTAACGTTCTCCGTGTGAGAAGAGGCTTTGCTCAGCAGTGGGCATTTATAGGCTGTTGATGATGATGATGATATATGAATATGTGAGCAGTAAGCATGTTGTCAGATGTTGGTGATAGTCCCACGTGCCTATTACTACTGAATGGAGTATTAGAATCATGAAAATCTGACCAATCATTTCGAATTACAAATCAACTATCAAACAACAACAGTATTGCATACTATGATACACAGGTATGAAATTTACTCAAGTAATTATTTGACGAGGACCTCGACTAGATTCAAGCCATGTTGGAGGCTCAATAGCAGCGTGACAATCACCGCGTCGCGGGTCGCGGAATGCTGTTCATGAATATGAGACTTTAGCATGGCTTGAAACTAGTAGAATTCCTCGTCAAATAATTAACCGACTTCAAAAAAAGGAGGTTATCAAGAGTTTGACCTTTATGTATTTACTAGCTTTTACCCGTGGCTTTTCTCGTGTCACAAAAGGATAAAAAGTAGCCTATGTTACATACACCACACAGCGCCATCTATACCAATATTTTTGTTTTCACTCGGGAATATCAAATTTTTCCGGTTTAAAAAGTACCCTATTATTTAATCCGGACTTCAAAATTTACGTCTGCAAAAATTCAAAGCAATCGGTTTAGTAGTAACGGCGTGAAAGTGGAACAAACAAACTCACTTTCCCATTTATAATATTAGTAAGGATGTTCGTGTGCGATTATCTCGCAATGGGTTAAACCAACTTTGGTGTGATTTTCAGTAAAGTGTTTAGTACACTTAAAGAGAAAGGTTTATGCCGGAATACTGAAACGTTACTCAATTTTAAGTCGTGCTCAAATATAGTGCCATCTCTGTCATTATACAAAGAATTTGTGGAGACAGAACTATACTTAAGCGCGACTTAAAATTGGGTAGCGTTTCAGTATTCCGACATTAGTATATTAATTAACCGACTTCAACAAAAGAGGGGCTTGAAGTCGGTCTTTTTAAACGTAGTTTACGAAAGAGTTACTTTATACTCACGGATCAATTCCCAAGAACGCCATGAGCGTGAGATCAGGCTGCCTGTTCCACTTGAGTAGTCGCCTCCAGTAGAGGTCGTCCTCCCTCTTGTTGTGCAGCGCGTACAGCACGAACAGCGCGGGGTGCGCGCGCGGCAGCAGCGCTGGCTGCAGCAGGGACGCCGCCGACACCACCTCGCTGGGACATTATACGTTTACGTTTATACGTTTATTTGGTATAAGACATGTACGCCAGAAAAGACATATAACAATAAAAAGGTATAAAAACAGAAAAATAAAAAGATAATAGGTAAATTATAAACCTAAAACAAGCCAATAATACAGGTGCAACATACTGCGCGGTGTTGGCGGACATTATAATATGAAGTCGTAGGCTTGTAAGATATGTAATTTATTTTATAGTATATACCTACACACCTATTTGATATTCCTTTAGTCTCAGCAAGTTAGCAGTTAATTTATTAGTCCCTCTATCGAAACGATACACTGTAGTGATAAAAACTGAACAAGTTGACATTTGGTGGTGAATTTAAAATTAATTTTCCATATTAAAAAATCACACACACAATAATTAACCGATAATACAAACATGCATTGCAAAAAAACGTGCAGCAAAAAGTTATGGATCGTTACTGCGTTGAGCGGGACAAAATTTTTTAATTAAATAAACAAGTAAAAAAACAACACTCACCCATCAATAGGATTACTGTCAGCATGTTCTTCCTGACCATCCTCCCTCTTCTTATAAGGCAGAACAGCATCAGAACCTTCAGGAGGTAAGGCAGGGAACAGGAGCCTTACGACCTGGTACAGTCGAGCCGTTATACTCTTGAGTTCCTTTACAGCATGACTCAGGAGTAAGGGGTGGACTCGAACTCCTCCGTATGTGGTGTTGAAGGCGTTTGTTAGACCGAGGACGAGCTGACCTAGTGGATGGTGGGTTGATTCGCAGGCCTGTTGAAGATAAGTCGTGGTCAGATAATTTTTAAGGTTTTCATAATTAATTAAATCAAACAAACGTTATTATATAAGTTCTGAAGATATTACTTGGTAATAAGTGTAACTTTTATTGAATTATAATAGATAGGCTCGGCATTTTCTGTAAAAAAGTTCTAATTCTTGGTATAAAAAATATTAAGAGTTCATAATAAAACAATGGATTAAAATTGATTTAGCCAATGAAGAGCTTTTGGATTGGGTAGATTCAAACATTTATCCCACCGATGAAAAGAATTGCCATCTCAAAAAAAAAAACAAACTGTCAAAATACTCACATTATACAAATATTGCTGCAACTCCGTATAACTTTCCAAATTAAGTGTTTTCTGTCCAAACTGCGGAATAACTTCCAAACAGTCCACAGACTTCTCTAAATCATTACTTTTCTTCTTCATAGACATTTTGTTTCTTTCTTTATGCGAACAGGATATGGCGACGGCGACATTCTGCCAGATTTTGACGTTGTCTATGGATGGACCGGAGGGGCCATTTGCAAAATGGTTACCGGTTGGGGTCAGAATGGATTCTGAGACACCAAGACATTGGAAGCATTGACGAAAGAGGGCATTCCACTTTTGGTTAGGAGCTACACTTAGTTTTCCGAATGAACTGAAACAAAAAGATTTATAATTATTTTTTTGCTGTTGTTGACGGTATCGAGAATTTAAACGATTTCGAATCTTATTGCGTTAGTGTTAGAATTAAAAATGCAGTAAATGTAAGGTGGTATTTATGATTTTTTTACATCAAATACTGACAATATTTTCATGACATTCACGTCCATATTGGTTGAACTATTTGATGATTTGACTCTAATTTCCAAAGAATTTTAATTTTTTTAAATCTTGGTAATACTGACTGCCAACAGATATGATTTGAGAACATGCGTATAAATAAAATAGCCTTGTCATTATTGAAATAAGATAATTATCATCGCAGTTGTTTAAACAAAGGCTATTCAAGAGTTTGTACCTAATACACGCAAATACGTATTTAAGTATGAATTATAATTAAAACAAGCTTGATTTCTTGGATGCAAGGTAATATCAACCTTAAATTCAACTCACTTAGGTTTAGAATTCATTGGCAACACTGGGTTCGAAACATTCAGTTGCATGGTAGCGTTTGAAATCTTGACGCCTTCAGTCCACGCGCCGCTCAAGCTACCTTCGATCTTATCTCCACTGGAGAAGGTTAGTATTCCCTTGCCTGAGAACACGCCAGCTGATCGAAACTCGCCTTCGTAGTGCGTTCCATCTTCAAATACCATGACTCCGTGACCCTGAAAGGCCATAAGGTAAAAAAGCTTTTAAAATCATAGCGGTAAGGTTTAAAATTATTTGGAACCGCACATGCTTAATAAATTAATGACATTAATCAATTTAATTTTTCAGTAATAGCCCTATCCTGGTACAGTGGATTTAATAACACGGTGGTAAAAAGTAAGTACACTATAAGTAAACCTACCAGATACTTTAAAATATACTTTGAAACCAACTTAAAAACTCAAAATTATCACTAACCGTCAACACATCCTGCATGAAAAGACCTTCATAATAAATCCCATCCAAGGTAACGATCAAACCGCACCCATGTTTCTTATTATCGCTCCAATTTCCTAAGTACTTCTCCCCTTTTCCAATATCATCCATGACTCCATAACCTTGCTTGACCCCATTGACCCACTCCCCCGTATAAATGGTCGCTGATGACGAAGTAAAATCTCCTTGCTTTTTAATACCATGTCCGTGTGGGTTGCCATCCTTAAAATAACCTTCGTAAATGTCACCTGTCGTGTATTTCATGACACCGTAGCCATTTTGGAGGTTATCTTTCCATTGGCCTTCGTATACTCCTGGAATTGAATTGAAAGAGATTGCTTATTTTTTGTTTGGACCCTACTTTAGATAGGTATAGATATGTTACTAATATAATAAATGCGGAAGTTTGTGTTTGTTAGTATTTCCCGTCGAAACGGCTGAAGGGAAGAGGATGAAGTTTCAGTTTGAAAGATTACCATCTAGAATACCACATGGGCTACCTTTTATTCCACAGAAGCTGACGCGGGCGAAGCTGTTGGCAACAATACCTAGTCTATAAATCGATTATGGTATGTATATAATGAGGTTTTTTTGCGGTTGGGAAATTCATTACCTTATTTAACTCGTCGAGTACCGTATTTATAGACACAATTAAAGAACAATAGGTTGCGGTCACCGGTGACCGCTTGGTGTTTGACAGTTTAAGGTAGTTTTGGCTAATATTTAAGGTAGTTTGAGGTCTATTGATGTTACAGAATGCGGCGTTTTTGTTGCGTGTAAAACCCGCAAATGGCAATTGTTATCATATCATATTGTGTGTGAGGTTTGTGCAAACCACACAAAGAACATAAAAAGCTTTTGAGGATAAACAAAGAAATAGTGAACCGCAAATAATAATTGGACCATAATCTAAAGTATAAATTGACCTATATTATTGATTGATTGAATGACGTAGATGCTAAGTGGTTACTGAACTTCGTGTTGCGGTTTCTATTCCTATTCGAAGCAATTTTTTTTCGGATTGTATAGTATGACCTATGACTAATTATGTTTGTAACTGTGCTGACGACACAGGATACAATTTTAAGTACTTATGGGGAAAATGGGGCAGCAATATCTTCTATAACATAAAAATAAATCGCTGAATGTGTTGCTAACCGTAAATCTCGAGAACAGCTGAACCGAATTTTCATATGTTTTGGTAGGGTTTGTTATTGTTAGGTGAAGGTTCTTCTGTAAGAATAAAATAACAAAGATGCGCTAAAAAGTTTCTAATGCGAAACAAAGATCGCGGGGTTCACTTATATCATATAAAAAACAACATTACCAGTGATTCCCATGGGGACTTTACAATTAAGGGGAATTTTGTATAATTCATCATCGATTCTTTAGTTTTATTTATGGGCTTATTATCTGAGTTGAACCGCTCGTTATCGTCAGGAGCAGCTTTACAATATATAAATACCCCTGATGGTATGTTATTGACATTTTATTGGATACAAATATCACGTATATCACACTTTTCCGCTACTAACTGACAAACAACGTACAGCAGAAAGTAATATATAGTAATATAGTAGACATGTAGGTTTATTGGGAAGAATAAGACATCCGACAAAATCGATTTATCACATTTCTTACGGAACGAAGTGATATTTATTTCTGTCAGTAAAAATATCACTTCTTCACGTCAAAACGTCACGAAATAAAATTGAACTATAGCTATACTTATTATTTTGTTATATTCTCGATGATATCACAAATGCTGCGAATGTGTATAATTCATTTCCTACGTGATAATTAATAATGCAAAAAAAAGCGGAAGGGTTTAGTATATTAGCTCAGTTTACCCTATCGGCTGAACTGCATAGTTATGCAATTGCGCCAATTGTTAGATAATTGAGTAGAATACATTTGTCATCACCCATAATCCGCCTCGCAGCTGTCGTAAGAGCCACCAAGGGACTACACGTTGACAGATACCGAGATGTACTGCTTCCCTAATAAACCTGATCTTTCTTAATTGTCAAGCGTAAGCGTAGAGATTATGGAAAACCCTCAGTTAATTACCCTCTAATATAGTGGAGGCGGTGGGTTATCACGGGCCAATGATGTAGAATATTATGGAGTAAATCGAGCGCAACGTTTCATTACTCGTGTCAAAAACGAAGTCCTGTAGTTATGTAGTTATGTCCTGCACAATTCGTACTGTTACGTTATAATTTGCTCCGATCAGAGACCGACCACCTACATTTATTTAAAAAGTTAACAGATTGTGAAGGTTCGACCAATTTCGCAATCCTCACCTTGACACTAATTCTTTATTTAGTAAGTTTCAATATTATGCAAGTAGAACATTGTATTGAATAACATATTGTATTCTTCTTTTACAGTTAAATGTTTAAGTACTCGTTTTTAAAGTATTACTTTATTTATTCTAGGTAGAAGTAGGTATACCCATTGCATTTGCATTTGTCATAAATATTCTCCGAAACTACGGACCGATTTGAAACGTACTTTTATCATCCGAAAATCTACTTTTTAGGGCTAATTTTCTACGCCAGAATACTACTCCTTTATACAAGCCAGGAAACCTGACTGGCATTCCTAATAAATCACTACGGGTCTTTCCCTAGGGGACAACAACTGAGATATTATTGTATAACACACAGTCTTTCATATGCTTTACTAGCCGGACATTGGTTAAATGATTTCTCATTTATAACAATTGAAACAAATTGATATCAGTATTCTCGGTTCAAGTTCTTTATAAAACCTATGTTCTGATATCCACCTGAATCTGAACAATAGGTAGGTATTATGAATTCAATTGCCAATATGGATTTACGCAAATGGAATTTCAATAACCAAAGGGATTTTGTGTATAAGTAAAGAAATGGAAGACACAGCTTCTAAAGATACGGATAGCGTACGGAATTAGGTACAAGTAAAATGTGTCCTTTAGATGTATGTAGGCGTAAGAATTAGGAATAAGTAGGTACGTATATGGGATGGATTTTATGCCAGCTATGCGGAAGAAATTTAAAGCACAATATCTTTTAGGACTTTAGCTACTTATATAAAACCACACGCTTTACGATCATTTTATTTTGAATGTTTACTTAGAAACATACGTATAAATAGCCGCGTTTATTAGGCACAATTGAAGCCTTTATAGTGTGCAAACATAGTATCACTACGTAATAAATATATATTGTATTACTACATAAGTACGGAATGATTCATAATCGTAATCATTCATAACTAAGTCATATGAATACGAGAATTCGCGCCTACAAAAAGGAATGACGCGTAAAATTCTTATTAATTTCAAAGTACTCATTCAATCGTCAAATAAAAGGAAATATACTCGGATTGAAATACCGCGTTAACCAATCTCATAGTAGGTAGACATATTAATTGAGTGGTCGATTGTTCGGCCGATATCAATAAATTCCTTCTACGGAAGATTTGAGTCCTACTTTTGTCTTTTGGTATTTATGTGAAAGTAGATCGGCCGTTTAGATATTATCTCGTTCTAGACATGTGATACGGATCTATTAAGGTTTCGAAAAGAATTAATTATGAGCTATTTAGTGACGAGAAATATGTTTAGGATATCTAATTAATGAGGTTAAAGATACCTACATTGTTAACTAGTAATGGTTAGTATACAATTCTTACCTATACTGGGTACTTCCATCTTCCCGTGTCCACATAAAGCATTTAGCTGGAATTGGCCAACATACAATTTGCCATCAGGCCATTCTACTTTCCCACTGCCATGGAGTTTACCGTCCAACCATCTACCAGTATACTTTGCGTCTTTATAAAAGGCATTTTTATTTGAGAACGTATGTGTTGCTGTTCTCACAGCGGGTGGTTTGAAATTGTCCTTATTTAATACAAGTCTTATAGAATTGTTGAATGAATGTGTCCATTCTGTTTTCTCCTGTTCCGTTGCCGTTGCAACTGATATCGTTTCTTCGGGAGTCGTCAGTTGGATTACGTTTTGCAGGGAATCTGTGTTTGGTACTGGTTCTACCCATAGCGTCTCTAAAGGATGGACGTTAGGCGTGCTGCCGTTGATGTGGACAAAGAGATCGTTGAACAGGACGAACCAATGCGATGAAAATCGGCCTGGGTTCACTAAATTCAGCTGTCTAGATTTTGATTCTCTCACTAGACGACGTTCAGGCGTCCGGTACTGCTCTATACTTTTCCCTATTGTCTCCCAAAATAACTTTGTGACGTCAGCTTCTTTTCGCTTCTTTTCCTGTTCGTCTATCAAAGTGTCCAGAGAAGCAATCACTTTATTCAATCTCTCATCGATATTCGGCTTAGAGTCAGGCTTTTTTCTTTTCGTCTTATACCTCAATAACGATTGAGCTATGCATTTATAAGAGCTCAATCTTGTTAACGGTTGTACGAACGCCAGTCCTACTATGGCTTCTAAGGTTTTCTTATTATTCTTCTGCTTATTAGTCGGGAGTTGATCGCTAAACAAACTATAGACACTAGACGGAACATCGACCACACTGTTAATTTGCGCGAAACCGCCGATAACTATCAAATTGCTTACAGCTACATAATACTTTCTGTACAAATAAATAAACTCTTCTAAATTTTTAATTAAAGAAATATCACATTCATTTATATGCTTCTCGGCGTACTGCCACATCGAGAGAACATTCAGAGCAGTAATGTTTAAAATGTCACCAAAAATATCACACACTGTTTCGTAAATATTGGAATGTGTAGTTACCGCTTTACTTTTCTTAAGAAAAGGTTTAACTAGATTATGATATATCAAAAGCATTTCTTCTAGATATCTTTGAGCAATAGACAAATCTTGGAATTCTGGACATTTGGACGACTCTTCTATTGAGCAATAGCTGATGTTGCCAGAAGACAATATTCTCCAATGGTAGCACATGTTTTGGGGCTTAGTTGGAAAGTTTGGAGGCTCAACCACTTTTACAGTTGAGTCTGTGTGGTTTTCGGTGACCTCTTGGTCATCCTTGACATTCAAATTGACAATAGAATCAGTGTATCCTTCAGTATGCTTTCCCATATAAAATATATTTTCATTGTGAGTGTATGCTAAAGTGTGATGATCAGTGGCTATCATATCTCTTACTCTATCACTGTCAGAATTTTCTGTGAACTGCTTAGGACCACTTTTATCTTCTCTGTTGTCAAAGCTGACTTGATGGAACAGATTGTAACCCCATAAGAAGAGTCTTCCATCTAGTGTTAGAGCTGAACAGTGCCATTTACCACAGGATACTTTCTGAAGTCCAAAACCTGACAAACTCATTACTACCATTGGTTTTATTCTTTTAACTGTGTCTCCTACTCCTAGCTGTCCATATGATATGTCTCCCCAGGTCCATAATTCTGTAGCTAAAATATTCTTACCAAGTTTAGACATGTTTTTGAGGTTTTCTGTTTTCCTTGCTGCTTCAAACTCCTTTTCACTGCTTATTGTGCTTGTGGAGAAGTGTAAATCTTCTAGATTGCAGTTAGATGTGCAGCTGTACATTAGGGAATTTATTTCTTCATTATTAATTCTCATTTGGAGTTCCACAGCATCATTATTATCACTGCTACCGCTAACATGTCTTGATAGTGTTGCCACTTTGTCTCCAACAGTTTTTACTCCTTCATAGACAAAGTTGGTGAGGTTTGAAACATTCTCTTTAATTATTCTAGTGGGTTTTTCTGTGTATTCTACTAAATAATCCTCACCAGCTGACACCCAAGAGAGCTGTCTACTCAAGAACTGTCTAGCAGCATCAGTATTAATAAAAATATTGTTAATTTTTTCTACATCAGCTTCACTTGTTTCACTCTCTTTATCTGTCTGCTCATCAGCATCCTCTGTTGATTTGTTATCTTGAGACATTTGATCTGCTTCCACATTAGCATTTTTTTGTGAGTTTGTTCTTGCAATTTTTGATTCCTCAGATGAGGGACTAGAATCTTCAGTTAAACTATGAGCATCAACATGTACATCTGTTTGTGGAGCAGTAGTACTACTTGAATCTTCACTAGACTTACTAATTTGAACACCTAAAGGGCAGGTTTCTGATAGAGATGGCACGGATGCAGGGGATGCTAGGCCTATTATTGTCTGGCACTGTGAGCAATTTGAAGCAAACACTTCCTCATCATCATTGTCACTTCTGTGTCATAGTTGCCGGACCTTCTCACATTTTTCCTTGCTATCACAGCAGCAAAGTTCTGACCAACCGATGCACTATAAACAGTTCTACCTTCAAAAAATGGAATTTTCTTAACACTACTAGTGTCTATGGAAGTTGGGGCATACAACCTGAGCCCCATAGCTGCCCATCACTACTTATGAACAACTGCCCAAAATCACTGGTCACTACATTTCTAAACTTCACTTTATAACTGGAACTTTTAAAACCGTGTGGACAACACTTAGCATCTTCTTTAACAATAATTTCTTCTTTGTTTTTAAAACTAGCATTGGTTTTGTATAGCCGTCCATGTACATCTATAATGTAAAGGATATCATTGTGATATGATATGTCTATTGCAGAAATGCCGCTGATTTTTTTGAAATTTAAAGAATCTTCTACAGTTTCGCAGTGGTAGAGGCCATGGTCGTTTCCTAACACAATGAAGTCTGTGCCCAAAGCACACAGTTTCACAATTTTTTCTGGTACTTGCTGTGAAGGTGGCACTGTTAATGGAGTTAGTCCTCTCCAGAAATTATGCTGACTCATCATTTAATGATCACTTCTTTGATTCATTGATTCGAAAGTAGGAGTAACAACGATTTTAAATCAGGGCGGAAGAACTATTGTACACTTTCTTAAAGCGTAGTCGCACATATTACGTTGTAAAACAGAACTGTTCACTATGAAATACATTAACAACTAAATACTTTATTTAACAACGAAAACACTGATTTATTTATCTTTGTTTGATAAGATTTTTTTATTAAAATGTTTTATTGCTTTTGGTTGACTGACAATAATAAAAGTGACAGTTGACAGCTGATAATATCAAAGACAACATAGAATGTCCATAGGCAAGAAACCACAAAGTTTTATTGAGCTATAGAGTTTTAGTATTTTACAGCTGGTAACATTGTCAGTTTATATGTCATAGCTATCAAAAATCAAAATCAAACTAACCTTTCTCAAAAATGGCGAACCGTAGTGGGCCTGCTAGACGCGTTCCTGAAACAGAACCTACAATAACTTACGTTCAATGCGATGGATTGGTATGTAAACATTTAATATTATTTATGTATCAACTTTATAATAAAATCGTCAACATCGGAACTTATCAGTAGTTGCGAAGCTGTTCCTCATCGACACGTCATGTATTCTCTGTTTTCTAAGTTTGTGCACTTGTTATTTGTTATTTTCAATCGTTTTGGTGGTTCTGATGCATTATTTACGATTATAAAACACATATCTATCTTATATATATAAAAGAAAGTCGTGTTAGTTACACTATTTATAACTCAAGAATGGCTAAATCGATTTGGATGAAAATTGGTGGGGAGGTAGCTTAGAACCAGGAGACGGACATAGGATACTTTTTACCCAATTCTTTTTTTTTACTTTTTACCGAAAATCAAGAACGGGAACGGGAAATATCGGGATTGCGCGTACGAAGTCGCGGGCAGAAGCTAGTTATCTACTAAAACTGCATGATTAGCAGTTTAAAAACTTGGATATAGGTTATGTTGTGAACGTAAACTCCACGATTAGTTTGCTGAAAATCTAATCGATATCTTAAAAAAACACCACAATATTTTTTTCTGGTCCTAATGCCAAGATAGGCAGCTTATTATTTCATGGTTTTTATCGTATTTAATATAAAATGTCTTTGTTGCTATAATTTTTGGGTCATTTTTTGTTGATAATGTGAAAGTTTAATGAAGCGTGAGTCATCCACTCTTTTCGGACGTTTACCTCAGTGACCCGACTGCCGGCAGACGATTACAGAGATGATCTCATTGTATGACATTGAGTAACTTTGGCTGGTAGCATTGGCATCTAAAAACTGCGTAATTTACATATTTTGTGCTCTGTTATTTGAGTATATAAACACAGAAATAATCCTTCTAAAATCTTATGTTTAAAAACACTGATAACATTCGAAAATATTACAACAAGCAAGTAAAAGTTATAAACGTTGATCTACTTGCCTGTTGATCTGTCCGTCATTTCATCAAAATAACAATGACACATTCAACCTCTTTGTGTGGATTAAATGACTCCATCTACATTTGAGTTAATTATAGTCATAGACTAATCTACAACAGACAACCTCTAACTCCAATAATGGTGTGGACAAATCTGTTTTTGTATGTATTGTTCACCTAATAAGTCGTTAGCTAGGAATAAAATTACTTCTATGCATCATTTGTAATAAATGTTGCATCTACTATGTTACAAGTTGACCTTTAGAGGTTTTATTTAGTTATGCTGCCTTCTGTTAGTATTACAGATATGTAATCATGTATTTTTATATAAATTTAGCATTGTATGATAAATCACAACTTTTATCCCTGAAGGGGTAGGCTGAGGTGCACATTACAGCACTTAAGACCACTGTACCATGTAACGCTCAGTTTTCACTATTTTATGTTATCAGTCCTGTGTAATAAGGGGTGAATCTATTGCCATATACCGGACACTATTCCGAACTCCGTGCTATCACTAAGAATTAGAATTTTTTAAAACCCAGAAATACTTTGCCCGACCCGAGGATTGAACCCGAGACCCCTTACCCGGCAGTCGCACTTAGGACCACTGGGCTAACGAGACAGTCATAGTGATAGTGAACATGGCAGTTTATATGGATTTCATACTATATATAAAAGAAAGTCGTGTTAGTTACACTATTTATAACTCAAGAATGGCTAAATCGATTTGGATGAAAATTGGTGGGGAGGTAGCTTAGAACCAGGAGACGGACATAGGATACTTTTTACCCAATTCTTTTTTTTTACTTTTTACCGAAAATCAAGAACGGGAACGGGAAATATCGGGATTGCGCGTACGAAGTCGCGGGCAGAAGCTAGTTATCTACTAAAACTGCATGATTAGCAGTTTAAAAACTTGGATATAGGTTATGTTGTGAACGTAAACTCCACGATTAGTTTGCTGAAAATCTAATCGATATCTTAAAAAAACACCACAATATTTTTTTCTGGTCCTAATGCCAAGATAGGCAGCTTATTATTTCATGGTTTTTATCGTATTTAATATAAAATGTCTTTGTTGCTATAATTTTTGGGTCATTTTTTGTTGATAATGTGAAAGTTTAATGAAGCGTGAGTCATCCACTCTTTTCGGACGTTTACCTCAGTGACCCGACTGCCGGCAGACGATTACAGAGATGATCTCATTGTATGACATTGAGTAACTTTGGCTGGTAGCATTGGCATCTAAAAACTGCGTTTTACATATTTTGTGCTCTGTTATTTGAGTATATAAACACAGAAATAATCCTTCTAAAATCTTATGTTTAAAAACACTGATAACATTCGAAAATATTACAACAAGCAAGTAAAAGTTATAAACGTTGATCTACTTGCCTGTTGATCTGTCCGTCATTTCATCAAAATAACAATGACACATTCAACCTCTTTGTGTGGATTAAATGACTCCATCTACATTTGAGTTTTATAGTCATAGACTAATCTACAACAGACAACCTCTAACTCCAATAATGGTGTGGACAAATCTGTTTTTGTATGTATTGTTCACCTAATAAGTCGTTAGCTAGGAATTACTTTATATGCATCATTTGTAATAAATGTTGCATCTACTATGTTACAAGTTGACCTTTAGAGGTTTTATTTAGTTATGCTGCCTTCTGTTAGTATTACAGATATGTAATCATGTATTTTTATATAAATTTAGCATTGTATGATAAATCACAACTTTTATCCCTGAAGGGGTAGGCTGAGGTGCACATTACAGCACTTAAGACCACTGTACCATGTAACGCTCAGTTTTCACTATTTTATGTTATCAGTCCTGTGTAATAAGGGGTGAATCTATTGCCATATACCGGACACTATTCCGAACTCCGTGCTATCACTAAGAATTAGAATTTTTTAAAACCCAGAAATACTTTGCCCGACCCGAGGATTGAACCCGAGACCCCTTACCCGGCAGTCGCACTTAGGACCACTGGGCTAACGAGACAGTCATAGTGATAGTGAACATGGCAGTTTATATGGATTTCATACTAACTCATTATTGTATATTTCAGGCGGTAATGAAAATAGTGAAACACTGCCATGAGGAATCATGCAGCAACATGGAAGTGGCTCAAGGAGCCTTGCTTGGATTGGTTGTGGAGAACCGCCTGGAGATCACCAACTGCTTCCCATTCCCGAAGCATGATGATACCATGGATGAGGAGGAGTACCAGCTTGACATGATGAGGAGACTCCGCCGTGTCAATGTTGATCATTTTCATGTTGGATGGTAAGTTAACATTCTTTAATTTTTATTCTGAAGAGGGCAAGCCTCTAGATCAAAAGTTTGACTAGTATCTAAAGGTCTGTAAAATCAATTGAATCAAACCGCTACTGTTGAAATACATTAATTGTAATGTAATTATTGGCAATAGATGGTCATACTTTATTTCTAGTACCTATTCAAAATTGTATACAATATATAATAGCAACAATGAAAACAAAAGTACATAGGAATACCAGTTATTTATGCTGATCTACTTTAGTTTTCAAAATAGTAGCTATGTATATAGTCTTCCGTACCGGTTTCGGTAACGGAGACTCTTAATAGCTATCTTCTGTCGTGTGCCCTGATGTGAGTGGCCAGATCGAATTTAGTTTTGAAAATCCGATCACAACTAAATCAGTAAAGCTGGCCGGCAGAGTTGTACGTGTAAGTATAGGAAGATTTAGGTCAGTCTTTATGTATTTGGCGCTTTATGTCCAATGTATCTAGTCGCTACTTATCGAATGCTCACACAGTTTCAATGATAGTAGTGCGCCAAGACTGTCTGTGAACAGCTAGAATGAATGGGAGAAGTAGATGTACTGCATGTAATATAGATAACATTACAGTCACAACTTAGCAATTAAATACCCAATTTCCTGTTTCCAGGTACCAGAGCGCAGATGTCGGTAACTTCCTGAGCCAGTCGCTTTTGGAGTCGCAGTATCACTACCAGACTTCCATTGAGGAGAGTGTGGTGGTAATCTATGACACCAAGAAGTCTGCTCGCGGCTTCCTGACACTCAAGGCTTACCGCTTGACTCCTCAGGTATGACAAAAATGGTTTAAACCAGGGTTGGAAATATGCCATATTTACATGATTACATAAATATCATAATATCGGATATTTATATGACAAACTAGCTTCTGCTAGCAGATTCATCCGGTCTCCCGTGGAATAAAAAGTAGCCTATTCCTAATTCTAGATCATAATTTATCGTAACAAACACACACCTACATCCCCGGAAACTTAAGCATTTATAATATTAGGTTGGGATTTATCCATTTTATATGAATGTCATGGAATATTTTTTGAAGATAAGTACTTAGATTAATATCACAATATATATAACTGAAACACAAAATTTTCTTCTAGATCTGACAAAATTTATGATATATCCATAGACATATTTATATCCTTCGAACCTAATATAAACAGGTCATAAGTACTGTTTTTCTATTCTATAACATGAGATTAGTATGTTGCCAATTCTCAATCCCCTTGACTTTCACTGTATTGTTACTTTGTCTCCTCATACATGATAATTTTCTTCCATTTGACATGAAATTATGGTGTAATATACTAATATATCTTTTATCTAAAAAGCTGTAAAGATAGCCAAGTCTGTAACACTATATTGGAAATACTGAAAAGTTTAACATGAACAATAATAAATTCTAAATAGGGATGATGACGGGGTATGAAAATTAAAAATCTAATTAGTCCATCAGTTGGTAATGAAAAAATATTAGACACGTATTTTTTTACTTTGATGTATAATAAAATTATATGTACTTAGATATAAAGAATCGAAGTTTAGGAGTGGGGGATAAAACGTCATTTCTACGTATAAAATGTACATAGATGCGACATTTCAAATCAATATATCGTCGAAAGTATTCGTTTCTGTAAAAAAATAAAAAATACGTGGCTCATGTTTTAAAAGAATCTACCAGACGGACAATAAAATAAAAATTAGTCATCTATCCTAATCAACCATCCCTGACCAAACCATTGACTGAAAACTATGTTATTTAATATAATTATTCTTATTCCAGGCCATCGCCATGTACAAAGAGGGCGACTATACACCCGAAGCCCTGCGTAACTTGAAGATTGGCTACGAGAGCCTGTTCATTGAGGTGCCCATCGTGATTCGCAACTCTCCGCTCACCAATATCATGATGTCTGAGCTGTCGGAGATGATCCCTGAGGAGGAAGGATCCAAGTTCCTGGATTTGGGAACCGCTTCAGTATTGGAAGGTATGTTGTTGCTATTTTTAAACTTCTTCCATGACTTGGTGATACAAAATGTCTGCTGGCCAAAACACAAATACTGCACATTCTAAAGTTCTAAACATAAATAAAAATGTAGTGTTATATTGTGACAATGAGTCTCTAAACCTTTCACCAACAATAAAATTAAAATATATACTCCTAAACTATTTTACTAAGCCTCGTTTATATGAAAACTTTCGTGAGACATACTAAATTAATTATAATGTTTTCGGCTTACTCACGTAACTGTTTGACGAGGAATTCGACTAGTTTCCAGCCATGCTAGATTAACCCGTCGAGCGTCCGCGTTCATTATGCATTTGGCCATTAGCACACGAAAACAAGGATTATTACAATAGAAATAAAAGAAATATGGTCAAAATAAAAACAAAACATTAATAATAGATTTTATAAAAGAGAAAGCAGCATGAAGCATTTTTTCTTATGATCCACCGGGTGCTCATAAGGACGCTCGAGGGGTTAATGGCTCATATTTATGAGCAGCATTCCGCGACTCGCGACTGTTGCGCTGCTACTGAAACTAAACTAGTCGAGTTCTTCGTCAAACGTGAGTAAGCCGAAAACATTATAATTAATTTACTAAGTGTCAATAAGCTTTCAACTCATTCTGATATGGTGTGTTTACTTCTGACGAATGTGCTGGTCATGCGCCGTTCGCAGTCACCTATTCCAATATTGGTACCTTATAAAACAAAATGTAAAATTACACAAGAAATGTAATCATCAACATTTCCCCTCCACAGGACAACTCCGTAGCCTAATGGAACGCGTCGACGAACTCAACCAGGAAGCTATCAAGTTCAACCGCTACCAACAACTGGTGGTGCGTCAACAACAAGACAAGCACCGCTGGTTGGCCAAGAGGACACAAGAGAACTTAGCTAGGGCCGCTAAGGACGAACCTCCACTACCTGAAGAAGATGTCAACAAACTCTTCAAGCCCCACCCAGTACCGCCTAGGCTTAACCCCATGATCGTAGCTGGTCAGATCAACACCTACAGCCAACATATAAGCCAGTTCTGCTCACAAAGTCTTGCTAAATTGTACCTGACGCAAGCGCTCCAAAACGCTAAGGAATCCAAGCAGAACAACTAACTTTGTATTGTATTAAAATTAAAATGATTGTCATTCATTATTGGTGGGTTTTATTTTGTTTCGCGACGCTAAGCATGTGTTATTTCTAAGATTCTTTATTAACAGTAATGCAAAAAAAATAGGTACACTTTTGCCTCCTTCGATGAATATAAGTCATTCCTTTTACAAATTATTTTGACATACATAGGTACAAATGAATACCATAAACAAAAATTATGAATCACGCAAAGAATTGTTTACTGGACCAACGAAGTTAACTATACATCAGGCATAGGTCCAGATTCGGTACTATAGTAGTGATATTTTATAAAAAAAAACGGAAAATCCGAATCGTTTTATATCAGATACAGGATCTCTATACTGCATGGTTGTCGCGGAGAACCTAACGGGTTACCGGGGCTCCAGCTCGACGTGCAGGAGAAGGAACGGAGTGGTTTATAGTCAGTAAGAGTCTGACACTCCCTCCCGCCTCACCCAGGCGAGCAGTCGTTCGATGATTTTCCCCCCTAAAAAAAATACTGCCTGGTATTCGTATTTGCAAGTTGCAACCACTACCAATAAAAGATGCAATTATTTTCTCTTATCCTGACTAATTGTTCCACATCAGTCTCAATTTATATTAATTACATAATTCGATTATTCGCTCCCATTAGCCTACCGCAGGGTTTTTTCAAACCACCGCATCAGCCGCCCGCCAAAGGATAATAGTGATAAATTGTGATTGTCCCTCAATTGCCTCAAATTGCTTAATTTACCTCCAGACGTCGCCCGCTTATAATTCGTGGATCTGTCTCCGAATAAATTGAGTTAATCATAATTATATATACGGATGTTCCTTTGTCCTGACAGTATTTAAAAAAAATCGTTGATCCGTTTCTAGAAAACGTGTTCTGGTTAAGTAGATTAGAGTTTCAGCTACCAACAAATAAAAAATACCGCAAAGTTAAGTTCGACGGTTCATTAATTTTGCCGTCACCACTCGACACTGGCAGTATAGTCGACAACACCGTTTTGGAGACTTGGTTGCCAAAGAAGAAAAAAAAAGTAGAATAGAGAAAATAATTAATCAGTCAGTGAAACAGGCCCTAAAACAAATTTCATGTTGTAACTTGTAAACGCAGCTACTAAAAATCATCATCATAACATCACGCCTTTTATCCCCGAAGGAGTAGGCACAGGTGCACATTACGGTACTTAATGCCACAGTACATACAATGTAACACCCACTTTTCACTATTTATGTTATGAGTCCCATGTAATAGGGGGTGAGCCTATTGCCAAATACCGGGCGCAATTCCAGTCTCCGTGCTACTACTGAGTTTTTCTTAATATTATTTATATTATTATTCTTATCTACATATATAATATTATTTACATATATAATTTTATTTAAGAATATTATTTATATCTACATTTATATTAACCTTTTGAACGCCAGAGCAAAAACGCATGAACTTGCCCTCAACGCCAGGCCACAAATTCACCGCAAATACCTACGAAAAAAATAGGGATTCCAAAACTTCATCGATAATCAATTTTATTTTCATTTTCGTCTTTAATTTCGAAATATAATGTCCTTATAACATTGAAATTTAATTCAACATTACATTTCTTCCTATTAAAGTAATAGTTATACACTATTTACAGACGTGTATAATACCGTAATAACAGATATGAGACTACAATATATTTAAATATAATAACTGTAGGTACAACACTATTCTTGATCTGCTGTCTTCATATTGTGACCATGGCGTGGACGGCCCGCCATTTTAATAACTACTTCGCTTCCGAAATAAGGATGTGGCAACGTAATATCTCGTTTATCGATGTTCTAGTACAATATTATTTTATAATAAATGAAACACGTTTTTTAAATCAGATTTATAATTCCGAATGTAACAGGTACTTAAAAATATATGATTGAAATAGGTTAAGAAGGTAAATAAAAACTATGAAAAAATAGAAAATTTTAATAAAATGTTATACAGTATGTACTATGTATACATGTTTTTAAATATTAAGTTCTATAAACCTGGCATAAAAAGTAACAAATTAAAAATTCGTCCAAAGATTCTGTTTCCGAAAATTCTTCGTCATCTGATATGCGAAGAAGTTCTTCCGTAGTCATTAAATTCCCACTCATTATAATAGTCACTTAATATAAATCTTGAACTCGATATCACAAGTAAATTAATCATAAATATTATTCATTCACTTCACTAATTTCTGGTCGCCGCGCTTGTGACGTCACGATATTGTCGTCTAGTCGTGACCATGGCGTACAGGGTACTGATAATTCGGGTTGCGTTAGGGATGCGCTTGAGTTGGGATTAGTGAATATCGAAATTCGACCCAACCAAATTTTATTTTTGACTATGTAGCTTATTAAATGATTTTTAAGACTGGTTTTATAAAATTAATGCTGCTTTATCCTAGTACCAAATTATACCTAAAATAATATATTCCAGAGGAAAGTTTCGAATCGATCTTTGATTTGAAATAATGATATTATCCAACATGCGCTACATCACTAGCGGTCACGCAGTTATGACTCTGGCGTGTGAGGACATTCTTTTTTCAGAGTTTATTTCTTTCTTTTTAACGTAAAATTTCTCAATATTTATAATGCAATTTAATTAGTTTTATGGAAATAAATAAATTTTGGACCTTCTATTTTACAGGCATATAAATAAATAGGCATTAAAGTAATGTTTAAATAGTTTATTTCGTGTTTTAATGTACCGCTGTTTTTGTCACATATTTGTGTCGTTGGCGCTCAGGGACAGTTTTCGCTTGTCACGTATTTGTGACCCTGGCGCTCAAAAGGTTAACACCGTCACATCTGCCAAAGCATTAAGTCAAATAAGTAAAATATGGCGAATATGTTTCATTTTAATTGTTCAATAAGGGATCCTATTTCGAGAGCACGCCGCGCTTCATACGCCCGAAATGTTCATTCACCTGCTGAATTGAGATCTTAATAAGGACAGCTCTGCCGATCCCCTCTGGCTACCTGCTGAGCAAAGTACCGATACAAAACGTAGGAATTAAACAGCTGCTTACTAACTAGAATTAAGTAATTAAATTCATTTATTATAGGCATTTACATTGAAAACTAAGTAAGCACTAAATGCTAGACATGTAACGTTAATATGTTTATTGTTTAACTGTCTTTATGGTAGGTACCTATTAGCCGATTTATTGTTTTATAAATAAACAAATGGAGTATGTGTGCTCACGGCTTCAGTAATTTCTATAGGTAGGTAGATACATTTTAGAAGTTAAAGGTACCTGTGCTTCTCTATACCGATACGTGCTGATGGTGACCGGTTTGATTTTTAGTGAGGTAAAAAATACCCACTTCTTGGTCTTTGTTTTTTTTTAAATCGTTGCCCCACACTAGGATTTTCTCCTGTGTCGTGGGTGCGGTTACAAACATACAAGTTCACATACACATGACATCCAGACCCGGAACAACAATCTGTGGATCACACAAAGAGTTGTGCGGGAATCGAACCCGCGACACGTTGTGCGGCAGTCAGTTGCCCAGCCACCGCGCCAACCGTGCAGCCATTTTTGTCTTTGTCCCCAAAAGCTAGGCACTTTTAAGGTTTTTCCGTCAGGAGGTATGGGAACCCGATTTATGCCTCAATGCAGAAAAAACACTAACAAACTTTGGCATTTGGAAATACGTAATAGTACCTACTTACTAGAGAATACACGCCGGTTCGCCTACTTAATAAGTAGTCGCGTCGCGTGCAACACACGAATTAAGTCATTTCCTGGCGATTTGTGGACAATATATTCATTAAATAAAGTCATCTATAGGATACATTTAAAATAAGGACATCGTTACGAAAAATGTCATAATTTGGGTACCTAAAAGATTACACGGACCACAGCGCAGCCGCAAAGATCAAGATGTCAGGTTAAACCACAACAGCTGTATCTATACTAATTTTAGATAATTTTCTTGTAAATATTTCGAAATAACGTGGACGGTTTGATTGATATAATGATTTTGTGCAGCCGTATTGCGGTCACATTAGGGATTTTATAATTATTTAAGTGGAGAGTAGTGGAGAACTGCCTCTATCCATTTGAGGTCGATGGGTGATCAGTAGTAACTATTTGGTAGTTTTGAAGTTTAATTCTATAAACCTAGGTCTATCTAGGCAGTGATTGTGCTAACTGAGCCAAGTTAGCAATATGAATCTACGTAAATGGCGCTTTGTAAGTACTTCCTGCCAAGTTTACTCTCATGGCGTCACAAAAACCCACAAAGACATATGCTTATTTTGTACTTAGTTTATTAAAATGCGATGGAGACGATCGCATTTGAATCGCCTGGATCGCCAGTTTGAAATAAACAAAATTAAAAGAAGGTCCGTTATAATTTTATTTAAAAGTTTATTTTAGCATAACTTAGCACAACGTGAAGGGCTTACAATAAAGGCACAAGCGCAACTAAGAATATTAATTAATTTATTAGAACCTTGTGTCGTGACCAAACTATAAAGAAATAATAAAAGAAAGGCAATTTGCCTTGAATTTATGCGATAATTTTCCACTATTAAAATGTAGACGCTACAATTAAATTTCACCTTTCCCTTTTAAAACATTTTATTTACATTATCCGAAGATAATTCCTGTGTTGTTTTAGTTTTAAATTGTTTATTACAACGTTCGTGATAATTGCTTAATAGACGGTAATCGTTGATGTTATAATTTTAAGTAATTATTGATAGAATAATTTAAAAAATCTAACCGTTGCTTGCGTCTTGCCAAAGATAAAAAATTATGGATGGTAAAAAGTCTAGCTATAAAGTTTGCTAGCTGAAAATGGATTACAAAATCTAATTTTGTCTACGTATTTACTGTAATTGACATTGAGCAGATGAGATGAGATTGACATGAGACAGAACAGATGAAATTGAAATTTAAAAGACTTAAGATTAATCTGGTAAGCAAACAAAACAAATAACAATAAATTTTAC